TATACGCCGGATTTGACCCAACAGCGAAAAGTCTTCATGTCGGAAATCTGCTTGTAGTTGTTAATTTGCTGAGAAGTGCTCAGTTTGGCATGCGACCAATTGCTGTTGTTGGTGGCGCGACCGCAGCTATTGGTGATCCCAGCGGGAGGACTTCTGGTTGGTAAGCTAGCTCACTCATTTGTCCCAGTTTGCTAGTACTGCAACGCGTTGCAGAACGTGATGTTCAAGATAAGGAAACAATTGCTGAAAATACCAGATCCATTACTGCCCAAGTGAAGAGAATAGGAGAAAATGTGCTGACCGAAGAGCTCACTGTTCTCGATAATAACGAATGGTTCGGTAAGGTATGTTGGCGCATTTGTTTTTTTTAGTTCAAGCGAATGTTGACAGATGTCTATGGTGGACTACCTGAGAAAGTGCAAACAGTTTCGTATTGGCGAAATGCTACGAATGGGACCCGTGAAGGCTCGTCTTGCTGATGAAGGTGGTGGAATGTCGTTCACGGAGTTCAGCTATCAAACAATGCAGGCGTACGACTGGACTGTACTGTTAGAGAAGTTCGACTGCAGATTTCAGGTAGGTATTCAACGAGGTGTTCATCTGTTCTAGAAACTGCTTTTACGTATGGTGCTTTGTCCATCATTTAGTATATTGGAAAGCGTGATTCATAACCTTACGATCGATTTCCTTGTTTTTGTGGGATGCAGAGAACCTTTTCGTCTTTGATCGTCAAGCCCACGCTACCGTAGTTAAATGTCTTACATAAAAAAAATCCGAAACATAACTGTTTTTTATGTGCCACCAAATCTTTTGATGGGGTGTGTTTTGCAGATAGGTGGATCTGATCAACTCGGTCATCTGGATCTGGGTGCCCACCACATCAAAAGGACGTGCGGAGGAAAATTTGTAGCAGGTTTATTTTGTTAGAACTATTAAGCACTTTCCATACAACTTCCTTTGTTTAGGTGTATGCTTGCCACTGGTTACTGATAGTGCTGGAAATAAATTGGGAAAATCTGTTGGA